TTTGATTAATCAGGCCGATTTTAGACCTTGTCGAGGTTGTGTAGATCACATTTTCCCCCTTCGCTAAATTCTGGAACACCGACATTCTTTTCTTAGACCCTGCGTTTCTGTTTTCCTCACTCTGAAAGCGGCTTTCGACCAAGTAGACCTCTCTAACCTCTGGCGCCGCATTTTCCTGAAGTGTGTGCCCGAAAAATTTATTTCGGTATAGCGATCCTTTTATACCAATAACCAACGCCGAATCCAAGCTTACCGCACCTTTTCGCCCGAGTTCACCACAGAGAGCGATGTTCGTCAGGGTTGCCCTCTCTCGTTTTCTATTTGACTGTGTTTTAAATTGGATCATGGAAACACCCGGTCCTCGTGCGAAGATAGTGGCATCGATTTGATCCCGGGTGCCAGGCTGTTTGATCTGGAGTATGCAGGTGGCATTATACTGCTAAGTATTGGTCCGGGCGAGTGTCAACCTATTCTGGATAGTTTTAGTACTAGTGTAGCCATGCTCGGCACGCGTTTAGTGCCTTCAAAGTGCAAGACGTTGCCACAAGATGGGTTCGTCTAGCTCACAGCCCCACTCTACTTAGGTAAGTAATAGAGCGAGTAGACAGGTTTTGCTATTCTGACAGCTATATCTCACCCGGTGGACGCATCATGGATGAATTATCAGCTCGCATACATGAGGATTGGTTAGCATTAGCTAACTTGAGAAAACAATGATACCGTCGCAACATCCGGCTGTCCGTGAAGGGTCGAGTATGCGCCGCAACAATGTGGCCGGTACTGCTTTATGGCACAGAAACTTAGTCATTCTGAAGGCAGAAAAAATAGACTGTCGATGTTTGAACACCGCCGAATTGAACGAGTTTCTTGAGGTAACCGGAGGTGCAGTGCTGACTTCAGGCTCAGAGTTTCAGATAACCGCTATCGCCTACTGGAGCAAATGGTTGACTTCCATAGGTTATATTCGTTGGGTGCTGCGCATGTCGCCAAATAGGTTGCCTCGGTGCGCGACTTTTGCCGATGCAATTAATGGTTGGAAAAAAGCCAAAGGTGGACAAACTAAAACCTGGCATGAGTGTATGAAAGCCCTGACGAAGAGACTTGCTCGCATAGGTCGCGTTCCGCGTACTGTATGGGAACCACCAGATCATTCTAATCAATATTTAGAGACACTGAGTGTCGTAAACAGTGACGCTCGTGCATTGATTCAATTTCTTGAAACCTTAGTTCACCAAAATTTTCCATTTTCATCCTCATACTGCCCTCAGTATTCCAGTCCTCCTTTTATCCCTTCCTCCGAATAGTCAGCTAAAAGACACCAACCAAAACCGGCTCATGAAAGTGCATGTTCAATGACTGTTCAAATGGAAACTTTCACCTTCTTAGGCCTACTATATTCAACAAGTTAACCAGGTGTACACTAATGACACGCATCAGTATGAGCATCATCAATCTGTGAATCATTCCAATCTGCTCAGACCACGGTGTACATTGCATTGTCTGAAATGGAACCCACCGGTCTAAGCATGCCTCTTGTCTACAGTTATGTATTATGATCTATCACTTTGTCGCCCCCGATCGATGCGACCAGTGATCCATCCGCATATACTACATACGTTTTTTTTCATTCTACCGGCCTCCGTGTCACTTAGTGAACTTTCTTCTCACATTTATACATGCTTGCGTGTTGAATGCGTCCACACGTTTGTCATTCAACGATTACGCTTTCGACTAAATGTTAGATGCAGGATGTGCATGACCAAATGGGTCCACACATGCATAATGTTCACTTGGCCCAGTCGTGTGATGTAGACAATCCAGTCAAAACTTGTGCGACATGAACGCCCAAATTTCTTTTTGTTCTTACGTCCTTTTATTGAATATACGGTGATACAATTTTCAGGAAGTGGGTAGCGACAAATCGAAGAGCTGTCATACAACACAAACGGGGAAAGTTAGATGGTGGTGGTGGGATTGGAACACACGTCCTCTGGGGTGATAAATTAGTAATCTTTATCACCGAGCTCCACCACCGAACACGGACAAATTACTTATTTTTCAATCAGAGATCATTCACTTACATACCCCGCAATGGTTTTGATAAATTTCATTCTTATCTGTTTGGTACCATATCATGTTGTCAAACGTTGTGGAAATACAATCACCTAATTCCACTTTGTGATCTGAATATCATTGAAGTTCGCTGTAGAATGACTATAATGCTGGTATTCAAAGAAGGTGCTCTAAATGGGCAGTCAGATTGTCCTCTTTACTGGGTTACAATTAACGAATTGTGTTGTTACTTCCATTTGAGACGAGGTGATGAAGGCAGAAAACGAAGTGAATCATGGTTATACGGCACTTCACATCACGTGGCCCATGTAGTTTCGCTGTCACTTTTATTCAATATCAACAGACGAAGATTGATAGGAACGCTGTGTTTTTATGTTTGCAAGGCAAAGTAAAAGCAGATTTCATTTCTTGTCGTTTTTTGCCATCTATCGCCTCTCGATGCAGTACTACTTTTCAGGATTTACGGAAACCGTACCAGTCACCCCCACCGAGTCGTTTGCGTGAAACAATCTCACCTTGACTATCCTCATCTGTCCATCGGTTCGTCTATATAGTCCGTCTATTCTACTACCTTCTCTACTCCGTTTCACTTCACTCCACTTCTCTCGACCGAGTGAGCGAGCGAGCGACCAACCTTCTAACGGTGCTCGCACGCCACCTCTTGTGTTTGTGTGCATAGGCTTGTGTGTACATATTTTCCNTATTTTCCCGTCCAAGAATGCGTGCGCTCAATACAATGTCGCCACTTGACGCTCCACCCCTCCCCCTACCACCATCATCATTTCTTCTCAATTGGTGTGCAGCTTGGTTGCAGTTTGCTTGTGGCGTATGGTGAATGAATGGGCTGCTCAGTAGTGTCCGTCCTCATTGCTTGGCAACGGCATGAATCGAATTCGTACACGAGGGCCTCGTCCGAATACGAATTTCGACGAGTCCGATTCAATACCGTTGAGTGAATAGGATGTTTGCAGTCAGTGCACATGACGCTCTATGTGTGTGTATGTGCGTACGCACATATCGTAGCTTATGTGTGTATGTGTATACTGTTCAGCTTCATTTTGCTTGTCGCATCACTTCGAAACGCCATGCACATCTCACTGCATAAGTGCGTATATGCGCATACCTTAGACTTCTTTTGCGTGTATGTATGTGTGTGTGCGTTCGCATGTCTACGCATGCGTGTACAAACACGCCAACCTATATGCACGGGATTCTATTCTTATACCCCACTGTTATTAGTATCCGTAACCCCCCCGTCCACCTCACGAGCGAGTGATCGAGCGAGCAAACGAGCATGCACGCACACACACACTTTATTCAAAGCTAACTTGTATTCGAGCGAGGCTGATTTAAAACTCCTAATATCTTTTCTACTCTTGTTAAGTGAATTGCATTTCAACTGCACCAATCATTTAGTTCATTTGCGCTCAGAATGCTGCACTGCCGTTTATCCTTCTGGTACTTTTTCAATGTGTTTTTACTGAATAATATTACTATTGCTGTTCGGATTAATATTATTGCCATAACTGTTGTCATTAAGGTTACTTTTCAGTTCAATCTGTCCTCATTTTACTTTCAAATCATATAGTTATATCGGCTTTCGTCTGTATTCCCTGGACTGAACTCATTCGGATATTTTCTCCCCCCCCCCCNGTGTGTGTGTGTGTGTGTGTGTGTGTGTGTGTGTGTGTGTGTGTGTGTGGCGAGGAGACCCGAACAAGGCTTGTGCGAAGAATTGAAGAGACAAAGATACCATGGGGCGAGAGATAAGTGAACTTGGTCGGTTTCAACTGTGATCAGTTGAGCAGAATATCTTTGTGCAAACGAATGTCCAATTTTGTATGAGTAAGGAGCGCTTGGGTAGATTGTGGGATCGTGGCGATCATGGTGATGATAATTGATCGGATGGACCGATGGGTGGATATTTGTATGAATAAATGCCGTTTCTTCGTTCATTTGTATGTTTCGATTGTACTACTCTGACCTTATGCTTGTGTGCATTCATACTGTTGGCGATTTCATTTTCAAACTGCCAGATTAGTAACACGCGTGATTCTACTACGGGCATAATACGCTTCCCGGTGTCTCTAGACCCTTTCATCCCTTCCTCCTCATCCGTACGTACACACACACACAACCATCGTGCACATGTGTGCATGTCTACACCACTTCAACATACGATTGCGGTTAGGGTGGAAAAAATATTGCCCTCGCTAAATATCCCTCGTCGTTTGAAATGTATGTATGTGTATGTTTCTGATTTGAGAGATTATTGACTTTGTTATGGCTTTTGTTGGTTCTCTTTTTCTGATAAGCGCTTTTAAACTGTTCACCCCTGCTGACGTTACACGCGTGCGCGAATGTTTTCGCTGACCCAAATGCGTGTCACATATTCCTGTTTTTACATGTGTGTGTGTGTGTGTGCGTGTACGCGCTTTTTCACAGATTTTTCTTTGGCATTTCTTTTCCGAATTTGGAATCTTCTTCAGCTTCGCATGAAGCGCGCTGGTGAATATCGTCCAGTTGACGAGTTGCCGAAGAGATCCAGTGCACATAGCTGTTTCTCTTCCTGTTTGCGTTTCTGCTGCTTGCTGCTTTGGATACGTTTCTTGATAGAGGGTCAGGAAAGTTCTATAGTTTCTATTCCACCCTTCTGGTTTCATCACATATCGAAAAATCAAATTGGTGCTGTTTGGTAGAGGCTTTTGGTCCTTTTTTCATAATATGGAGTTTTGGGTTCCTTGTTGTTGTTGTCGCTGCTCATGCACGTGTGTTCGTGCGTTTGTTTAGGATTGATGATCCGCCGGTACTGGCAGATTATCGAATCGGGACATTACGGTGCATGCCTGTGACATTGCATATCTCCTGTGTGAATACCGTTTGGTCGATTTGTAAAACGCCATTTTACGGCTACCGGGTGTCTGCGTATGGTTGTACTGTATGCTTCGTTTGTAGACTTCACTGTTCCGGATTTCATCTCATTCCCCACACGTCTTATGCCTTCTACTGCCCGCGGTTGTCAAGTAATGACAGTCACTAACCCATCGCTCCGGAGGTCATGTGTTCGAATCCTACCACACAATCTTCCGAGTTCAGACTGTGACAAACAAATTGCGATACGATAATCCTTGTAACAAAGACGGTTCCACGATTTGCTCATGGGTGGAATGCCATCAGGTTACCCAAGACAAAGTAAGTGAATTGTCTTAGATATTCACAGACGGAGCCTTTGGCTTGATCCTCAAGGCACCGATGTGGTGCGTCAAAACCTCAATCCATTGAGGGCCGGTGTCCATTTCATCCGTTCATACACCCTAGTCTGGATAATCTCGGGTTAAGCAGAGCTAAATGCGTCCCCTGGTTGTGAATAGGTGGATACCTTCACCGAAGAAGGTTAGCTATGAATACGTTGTGCCATACCGCAACGAATAAGCAGTCGCGAACCAACAGCGGCACTCCCAGAGTGTGGTGAGTTTCAGGCTGGTCACCTGCCTACTGTTTGAAAGCCGCATAAGCCCAGTGACGGTGTCGTGACAAAGGTCGATGTGACTGGCCCGGGGCGAAAGTCATTGACCTCTTCACTTCCGAGGCGGGGGTTACTTCCTGCTGCCTTGTGGTTCGCACTTGGTTGTACAAAGGCTAGAGGTGCGCCCTCAAAATAAAAAACGCCGAGTGACGTTGGGGATGTCTCTCGTACTAAACTCCCAAGAAACTTCATGATCATAATCATGTCTGGAGCCGGCTTATCCTCTCCAGCAGCAGTAAAGTGAGATAAGTAAGTTCATACACCCTGTGGACAGGTTAGACGTCCAATCTACCCACTAATTCTCGTTACTCAAACAAACTTATGGCCTCTGCCACTACGAGGAAGGTGTGTGTGTGTGTGTGTGTGTATGGTTCCCACGCCTCCTCTTGTTTTGTTTGAAATTTCTTTTTAATCCATCTTCCCCTGTGAACCGATAGTAGTCCATCGAGGTGGTCATAACCTCGGATGCTGAATTTCTGTCTTCTCACTTCGCTGGGAAAACACGTCTACCATGTGATCGCAGCGGTATACCTTCCTCAAAAAGAACTGTAGGAAGTGAAATCGCAAACCTTAGGATTGGAAGCAGAAACTCTTACTGCACAAGATTTGTGGTCGAATTAGTAGATGTTTTCTTTTACCCTTTTGTGTGTTGTATGGCAGCCCTTTGATTGGCTACTTCCCCCTGCCTGAAAGTTGTATCATTGTGTATTCAATAAAAAAGGAAGTAAAAATGAAAAACAGAAAGAAAAAAGAGAACACAAGTGCCCCGAGCTTTTTGTCTATTGATACGCAGTCAGTTTGTACAACCACTAACGATGCACTTTCGTGCGCAGTCTCTAGCGACTGAAACAATGCGGCACCGTTCCACTGCTGTTTATGAGCTGAGCTATTCACCGAAAGGATTAGTTCACGTTCCAGTCAACTTCACGTGATCAGCTGCGTAGTCTAACGGTCTGATTCACTTTCGTTGGCTTGACATGGATTTTTCCTGCGATATTTGTGCAACACGGTTCGGTACTAAATGTGTTTTTTTAAGCTGTCTGCTATCGATGAGGATGAGTAATGGATAAAGAAGGCTTTACTGTCATTCCTCATTCACCACAGAATTGGACCTGTATCAATTTTCTAGAGGAAGGGGGTTAGAGGAGAAGGAGAAGATGGGCCTCGCCGGATAAACAGTTGGGAATATTACGCGTGATTTCTGAATAGCATGCTAATTACAGTGGCCTGGCCATTCTCGTCCATTGATTTTCTGTTTATGCTTTCGTCTCGCACATGCCATAGTCCCTATTGACATCATTATTATCTAGCTAAAATATCCTCGTAATGACGCTTTGAAGTCACCGTTATTGTAGACAATTTCAATAGGGTCCAGATAATCTGAGAGTGGTTTTGTTTGGTATTACTACGGGAAGATGATGAGAATGTTTCCAAGTTATGCTCATGTACATCCTTTGTCTCCTTTATCCCGTTCATTCAGCGCTCTAGCCGCGGTGTGCTGCTCGAGGTCGGCTCTGATCTACTCTGCTTGAGCACACGCAGTCAAACTTACGCCATGGAACTGCCTCTTTTTCCTCTGGTCAACGAGGATGAGACCGTGGCTGAGTTTAATCGGGATAACAAGGTACGTCACCTTCCCTGTTGCCCTCCCTATTAATGTTTGTTCACATCTTTTTCTTCGAGTTGGTTCTCCGTTCTCGATGAAGAGTTTTTGTGTTTTTCATAATGTATCAGCATACAGTCGATCGTTCTCGGATAGACAGCACGTGACCTGACATTCACTTCCCTGGAAGAAATGTGATCGGGTAACAAATTGTGTCTATCGTTTCTATTGCCCTTCCAGATAGGGTAAACTGGGGATGAACCCCATCGTTCACAAATTTTCTGTACGTTAGCATTGTAACACGTTTTGCAAACACAGCTTTTTTAACACTCAGTCTATTCAGAAAAGCGTGACGCTTTGTTGAATCCGCAATAAACTAGATGAAACAAGTATTTTCTGAGATAAAGTTGAATAGAGGACATAACACTGCGATTGAACACGATTTAATTCTGAGATCATTCCGCTGCATCTCAGCCGATGGTGATTCGGCAGAAAACAAAATAGTCTATACATCACATTATAATGGTCTAGCATAGTACCAGTTCACTATTTCGCTTACATCGTTACCACTCTAATGTCAGACTCCTTCTACTGACACATCAGTAGCTTTCAGTGCTTGACTCCTATGATCTCTGCAATTCTTGGCAGCATTCCATCCGAAATTTTGTAAATAACCCGGAGCAGTGCCCCTCATTCGGCTTGATGACCAGTCCGTTAGTTTATAAACTGTTTTGTTTCCTTCAATAAGTATCGACTGCAGCGAAATCCTTTCAGAACTAAGTTGGGTTAGACAGCTCATAGCCTATGAGCACACCGATATCACTTGCCTTAAGGGCTATTTGTGGAACCATGTTATTTGAAAAAGTAAAAAGCTACATAAATAAACTTTTCGTTGTAAACTATGATCCAGATAACAGTGAGCTCGAACTCTGCTACGAATTCTCGCAAACATTGATCGTTCAACGGAGATGTCCCTCTTTCACAAATCCTTCGAGAAGAGACAGCGCAGGAGTTCACGGTGTGATCAAAGATCGCTTTCAGATAAGAGAAGACAAAAGAAATACTGGTGTTTCCACCTTGTTCGAATGTTTGTGTGTGATCGATGCAACCGTGATTAGGTCTCAAATCAGTTGGATCTTCACATCTGCACTTTTCACTTGCGCCAGAGTATTCTTATAGCATGGTTCTTACGAGAAGCTTCAAGACGGGGTTTATTAGACTAACTTCTTTGGGGTTTTCGAAAGAGATTTATCTTTTTAATGTAGCTCCATAAAATAACCGGTTTCCATCTCTTGTAGGCGATTTGTTCTGCATCCAATCGAGAAAGACTTGAAGATGTCGTGTTAAACTTATCTTACCTCATCAGTATGACTCATTCACCATGCGTTCATAGTTTGTCAGCAGAACCCGATGTTTCCTCAATAAAGTACGATAGCTTGACAAAGCACAATTTACATTCACTCCTCCTATCCACCGAATTCTTCGGTAAACGCAACAGGTGTTCAGTTGAGCATCATTTTTTAATTAACTAGGATTTCATCAGTTGCGACAGGTAAGGGAACTTGTTCCACAGATCAGCACCTATGCTCAAGCTTATCGCATCCTCCTATGCCTTAGAAGTGATTGGTGATGACCTGGCGGTAAAGTTGACCAAGTTATCGCCCCAGAGGATGTGTAATCGAATCCCATCACCGCCGCCTAACTTTTCCCACGTGTTGCATTACATCGCCTTGATTGGCCGCTTCTCCCTTCCTGAAAGTTGTATCATTATCTATTCAAAAAGGACGTAAAATAAAAAAAGATAAGATGTCTACCAGATTGCAATAGTACGCTTCATACGATCTGCCATAATAGGAATATCATTGTCACTACACTTGAACCCGCATTACATAATCAGAGACACAGTTTAGCTGGCCACCAGCTTCAGCTTCTCACACAGCTATTCTGGCACACGTCCCATGGTCTGTTTCAACAGACCCACCTCCCGAGGCGGAAATTCGTAAGGAGATCCAAGCCTCGAAACGTCGCAAAGCGCCGGGTTCCGAGGGCCTTCCCTCATTCCTATTTAAAGATTGTGGAATAACGCTTGTGAGAGAACTACAGGTTCTATTCTCTAAAGTTTGGAACACTAAGCAGGTCCCCTCCTCGTGGGGGGAATGGATTGTCGTCCCCATCTTCAAAAAGGGCCCGTGCAGTAACTGCGCCAATCATAGGGGTATAAGTCTGATCCCTGTATCGTCGAAGCTGTTGGCGTCCGACATTCTTAGATTGTACAAGACGCGTGCGGAACATACCTGCGAGGAGCAGGCTGGGTTTCGCGCGGGTTGTGGTTGCATCGATCAAATCTTCACCCTCTGACAGTTGCTAGAGCACCGTCATGCTGACCACGATAATTGTGTTTTTAGGCATCCGCGCAACCTTCAACTCTCTAGTTAAATTTTTCTCATATTAATTAACTATATTCTGGGAGCATTCCCTGGGTTAATTTATTCATCGCAGCTGCAGACGGTGTTGGAGAGGATCACATTGCGGATAGCATGAGCTGGAGCAGCTTTTGTCAACCTTTGACACCTTTGGCGCCGCCTTGACATGCGTTTATCTTTTAAGGGAGGGGTGTGCATCGCAGAGATTCGTATTGTTCTGCTTTACGATTGCGCGACCTGGCCCCTTCGCGTTGAGGATGCTAATCGACTTTCTCCATTTGACCCTTCTCTGAAGCATTGCTCATGTCTGGTGGAAACATCGCGTGAGCAATGATGAGGTTTGTCATCATGTGTTGGCTGCTGATAGTTATTCTTTAAAAGAAGCAATCGCTCTATACTGCCTCCGATGTGTTGACCGCATTTTGCGCATGCCTGCCCATCGTCTACCTCTCCGTGCTCTCTTTGCACGTGCTGGACAAGGCTGCAAGAAGCTTAGCTGCCGTCAGGATTTGACACGGCGTAGAAGTATGAAAAAGCCTGCTTCAGCCTTTGCTTTGGTTGGCCAGCCCTCCTTCCAGGTTGGGGCGTAGGGGATGTGGATTGTCGTTGGTTAGAGACGCTGAGAGATACAACCCAGAACAGAAGTTAGTGGCGCGAATGCTTTGGAAACCGCGTGCCCCATATAAAACAATAAACGGCAACCTAAAAATATCAAAAGTGTACGATGAAACAAAAATATTTATTCTCGTTCTTCACCTTAACTTTCTGACCCCGTTTTACTGTGCTTGGTATCCCACTCCCCCCCATGTTCTGTTATTCTTGTTGTTGCGTTGGCATCAAGCTTGCTCTTAAGCTGTATATATATATTTATATACAAAAACGACAATCAACACCGTTGTTTACAAAACTGTCATATATATATATATATATATATATATATATG